CACCTGAACACACAACACACAAGAGCACCTGTCACACAGCACACAGGGACAAGAGCACCCGTCACACAGCACACAGGGACGAGAGCACCCGTCACACAGCACACAAGACTCTCTAGTAACTTCTGTTGGTCAGTTATCCTCTTTTTAATGGAGAGGTCTACAGACTTGAGATGAAGACATTTATGACTATTTATTTTGTGAACTGGCATTGATTTCAGGACATTTCATCACAAATCTCATTAAGAGAAAGTCAAGGATTCGGTCGTTTCTTAATGTGGAGCAGCTGACAATTCCCATAGAAAATAACAGCGTGGGCGGTAATGAACAAACTTTGGATTATTGTTGCACACTGGGATGTAACATTATCAAAAACTGAAGAAAGCCGAGCCTTTTATCAGATTTACACGGCTCCGGACTGACGGGAGAAGTGGATTTCTGCAGGTAAATGGGCGAGTAGGTAACATTAATCAAACCAGACATCAATTAAGCAATGCAAGTCTTTTAATATCAATATTTTTTTCTTTATTTGGTTTAATTTGAATGATTAAATCATAGTCTCATAACGATTCAAAAAGTGTAAGTCTGTGTATTGTTGATGAGCATTAAATAATCTATAAATGAGACAGAGGGGGCTGAAGAAAAATGATCCCAGATGCTTTAACACTGTTCATATATTTAATGTTAATGATGCTTAGGATGTGGAAGGTAGAAAATAAAATCATAAACTAAAGTTAAATCAACGTTTGTGTTTATTACACTGATTTAGCTGATTTAGTTGCTTGAAGCTACAACATCTGCACATTAGTCCGGGCACGTCGTATTTTTGCTATTTGATCAATTTCACATCATTTAAACTGCCAGTATCAGTATCAGTAAACATTACATGTATAATAGTCTACTTTTCACAAACATCTCCAAGGATTTTTTTGATGTTATTAGAAGGTGAAAAATAAACCAGATGTCCAGATATTACACAAATAGAAATAGAAAAAGATGAAACCTATGTGATCTATTCTCTTTAAAATCAGACCTGTGCTCAGTAAGGGATTAGTTTTAATCACTGTCTACGATTTTCTTTAATGACAAAAAACAAAAAAAAACAAAAAAAAAAACTACAAAAGTGACTCAGTGCCATTCATGACCCATAATCCACCGCTGCCATTGACTGAATGACGTGGGTGCAGGAGCTCTAGAGGCTCAACAGTCTGCTATGGAGACATATGTGAATGAAACTGTCAGGACACATCTGTTTTGCAGATGACATTCAAATTTATCTGCCAGTGACAAGTGCAATCGACAGCCAGAGCACGATCAAAGCTCTGCAGGACTGTCTCAGGGACGAACAAATCTGGCTGAACTCAAACTTCCTCAATCTAAATCATAAAAACAAGATTGTGGTGTTTGGGCAAATGAACCCACAGCTTGGGCAGGACAGTGTGCTTGTTCCTCTGTCCTCCTGTTGTCTCCTGCAGTGAGGAATCTTGGGGTGATTGTGGACTCCATGTTCAAACTGGACAAGCACATTAGTGCTGTGATTAAGTAAGTTTATTTATATAGCATTTTTCACACTTTACAGAGCATTATTCATTCACTCGATACCTGGTGATGGTAAGATACTGTTGTAGCCACAGACTGACAGAAGCACAGCTGCCATTGGCCCCTCCGACCACACACCACTTTCATACAAGGCAATGTGGGTGAAGTGTCTAGCCTAAGGACACAGTTACTGCCACTAGTCTCTGTGTAGCATGTTTGATGGGGGAAACCCATCCAGACACAGGGAGAAACATGCAAACTCCACACCACAGCAACCCAGGGGATTGAACCCAGAACCTTCTTGCTGTGAGGCATGAGTGCTAGCCACTCAGCCACCGTGCCACCATGGTGTTGGGGGTAAGGCTG